GATTTACTCATTATGCCTCTCTTTATAGACAGTGAAGTCTACATGGTTTTTTTGCCTGGAGCACATGATGTAAAAACAAAATGGAAAGTAGGACTTGTGATCCGTAATAACGAATGTTTATATGAAGCTTAGTATGTGTTAACCACTGCTCTAACCACACAAAATGTATTAATCACATCAAATGTATCAACTCAATTACTCCTCACAGCAGTTCTATGATGCAGGCACTGTCATCATTCCCATTTTACAGATAAGGGGACTGAGGCATGTCAAGATTTAGCACGGTGTCCGATACAACTAGGAAGTGGCGGAGTGGGGTTTGAACGCAGGCAGTGTGGCTTCAGATTCCTTGCTCTTGACCCCTGTGCTGTGCTGCCTCTCTGAAGGCAGTAGGGGGCTCCTTGGAATCATTTTGAAAAAAAAAAAAAGCTAAATCATTAAATATAATTAAAACAATTCAATGCAAGTTTAAAAGTACAAAGAAGGGGAGCCACTGAAACACTTGTATGTGGGTTATGAGTGACTGTTTTGTTGCACTCTTTGGCACCTGCCGAATATGATTTCTCAGGATGTGGTAGTTGGCTGACTGCCTCTTGCAGCCACTAGATTCTGCTCTCCCTCTGGATTTTCTCCCTTTCCTTCCTGCCCTCTGAAGCCTTCCTCTAGATTTTTCTTGCCTTTGTCCTCTTTCTAGGAGCTTGTGTTAGTCAGGGTTCTCCAGAGAAACAGAACCAATAGGATGTGTCTATCTATCTGTCTGTCTGTCTGTCTGTCTCTCTATCTATCTATCTATCTATCTATCTATCTATCTATCTATCTATCTATCTATCTATCTATCTATCATCATCTATCTAATCATGTTTCTAGATATAGATATATAATATCCAATTTTAAGGACCCTTGTGATTACATTGGGCCCACACAGATAGTACAGGGTAATCTCGCCATCTCAAAGCGCTTAACTTAATCACACCTGAAATTGCCCCTTTGCCACGTAACATCACGTGTTCACAGGTTCTGTGGACACCTTTGGGAGTCACAGTAGCCTTAAAACTTCCATTTAAAATAATTAGAGTAAGATATGCTTTTAAATAGAAAAGTTATAATAATTTTACTGATTTTAGCAATGTTAGAGTCTTTAGAGAATTTGAGATATATTTATGCTTATTAAATTTATAAGTTATTAATTTACTTGGGACTGTTTTGCTTATTAGCGTTGAAGCTTATCTGCAGGTATTTGAAGTGCTTATAAAAAAGGCAGTTTCATTAGATGTATATATAATTGCAGCATTAAGCCGTTTAAAGGAATTTTTGTTAAGTTTGTTAAAGGGGCTTTTTTTTTTTTTTTAA